GCCCACCCCGTGCGGCGGGGGCGGGGTCTCCAGGCGGGAAGCGGGAGCCGCACTGCTGTCTTCGAAGTCGAACTTAAACCCGAGTCCTGGGGAGAAAGCAGAACTTTGGGCGCCTTCACACTGTCCCGCCGCTGGGCGACCGCGCCTTTCAGCGCTTGGGCATATTTCACTTTTCCTTGGACCAGATGACAGGCCGAACCTTGCAGCCTGGACGGTCCAGGGGTGGGGTGGGAGCCCGAGACTTGGGAAGTCCGAGGAGGTCCACCCCAGGCCCATGATTGACATAAAGCTTTCCAGGTTACTCTGGTCATGGCTCTCTAGACTGTACAGTTGGGCCTGGGAATTTGCCTTTTAAACCAGAATAAAGATTAGTTTTGAAGGAATAAACCATGAAGTGAGGTTTACTTCGTGGTTCAGCAGGGCACTGGACATGCAGAGAGCTGTGTGTTTCTGGAGCTGAAGAAAGTCCTGTGGTTAATTACCCTGTGGAACAGGGGCATGAAGTTGGTAGGGATCAGGTTCCAGAGGGCCTTGGAGAGCTGTTCAACGGCAAAGCTTGTTCAAGAGTTTAGTCTGGGTGAAAAGTAGAGCCCACTTGTTGGATCATCCCACAACACTGGGAACTTAGTGGAGCAGTCACATACAGCTATTAGGAGCCTGAGCTAGGAGCTTTCATGCAATATTGCATTCCACACTCAAGATTATGAGTTGGCTATTACTTTGTTTATCTCCTAAATGAAGAAAGAGAGTCGAAAAGACTTAACTTCCTCAAGTTCCCAAAAACATAAAGGAATGGGGATCCAAGCCCTTTGTTTCTTTTCTACTTCATCAGTATGCTAACCACTGAAGAAGGCCAGATGAGAGAAATATAAGGTCTGAATTAATTAGCTTGGTAGTGGGTTGGTGTTTGGTACATCTTGTTCTCATTGAGCATTTGAATCATAAGCACTGACTTAGGCATAGGGAGGTGTTGCAACTGGGGCATACTTTAGGGCCATCTAGGCCTGTGTCCTCCATCATTTTGTAAATAGAACATGTGAGCTACTTGCCCTAACTTATGCACTTGGGAGTTTCGAGCCAGGCCTAGACCCCACTGATGGAAGGTTTGGTAGTCCCATGTTTGGCCAGCTGTAATCATTACCCTAATTTCATTGATGATGTTCTTTCATGTTCATTCCAGCTGTGACTACTAAAGTTGGGAAAGATGATGACCCAAATTCTGTTCACTTGATGCCAGATGTGGTTTGGAGAGGCAGGACTGTGTGTAAGGAGGCTTCTCTGGTAGGAGCTAAGAGCTGCTAAGAGCTACTTACAAATAGATGGGTCTGGCTACAGGTTGCACATGGGGGTTGGCAAGAGGTGAGACTGGACAAGTGAACAGTGGGAAGGCCAAAGTCATTCTAGGGCCTGATTTCTTTCTTTTTTTTTTTTCCCCCAGAGGGAGATAGGAAACTTTAAGCAACTGAGAGACGTCACATTTGTGGCTTATGGATGTCACTATGGTTTCAGTGTGAAAGTGGACTGTGGGGAAGGACAAGGCATAGGGAGATTACTACTGTAAGCATACAAAAAATAAGTGGAAAATAAATATGGAAAGAAAAGCCAAATTTGGTCAATATATGGGAGATAGAGTTGATGGGTCTTTGTGAGAGGATGTGGGGTGGGCTGGGGTGAAGGAGGAGGAATTGAGGATGACTCCCAGGTTTCTGGTGGATTGTGGGAAGATTTGTTTTGGGAATAAGACAAGGTCAGTTTTAGACTTTTGGAGTACTAATGGGCATGGAATGGGAATTATATGACACTGCAGTACACTTGACTGTGGAACCCAAGAGAGGGATACAGGCCACAATGTAGATATGCAGGATGCAAGAGATGTGAGGGAGTGGGAGACCAGGGTAGAAGCCCAAGAATGCAGACATCTGAAGATGAGTCTCAGGGAAGTCCAGCCTTCCTCACGGGTCCCCTCACCAATGCTGTCTGAGAGAAGACTCCCCAGTTTTTCCAGTGTAACCAGCAGGCTGTGTCTGCTTCAGAGCACTGTTCCCAGGATGTTAATCCAAACAGTGGTGGGCAAACTTTTCTGTAAAAAGCCAGACAATCCATATCTGAGGCTGTGTGGGGCTCTGTCACAACTACTCAACTCTGTGGCTGTAGAGGGAAAGCAGTCATAGACAAAATGTGATAGAATAGGTGTGAATGTGTTTCAGTAAGTCTTTATATGTAAAAACTGGAAGCAGGCAACATTTGGTCATAGTTCACTGATCCCTGGCCCAGTTCTTACCCTATTATGTTTGAATTGGTTAGCTCTCTTAGTTTGTGAACTCCTTCCATGGAAAAAATACTACATCTTGACTGATTTTCTAAGGTCTGAGGGATGATGAGCACATTTTTAGTGCAGGGTAAATGTTCAGAAATTGCCTGCTTCCCGCTTGTTAGTTAGGGTGACAGTATTAAAACTGGGCGGACTTGGGGTCAGTAGTCCCCATCATCAAATGTATCAGCAGGTGAAGCAGTCTGGTTTGCCCTTGGGTTCAGCATCCTGCCTCTGTGCTCCTACCTGGAAGTGGGACTAGAGTTCAGGGCCAGGGCCAGGCCTGCTGCTGATAGGAGGGAAGTCAGAGATTTTTTTCTAACCACAAATTGATGGATTGTGCTCTCAAGAATCTTGTTAGTCTTTGTTGGTAAAGATTAAATGGCATATGTGAAATAATCATGGTGAAAACAATAATAATAGCAAATGTCTAGTGAACTTTTACTAAATGTCAGGTGTTAGGCTTGATGCTTCCAAAAATCAGCAACCAGGAAGGAGCACCCAAGACGTCTTTGTTTAACAAAGGGAGTTGCTATTCAGAGAGGCTCAGTGACTTGATGACTAGCACACAGTCTGCTAGCGGGGTGGTCATATATCCCACTTGGGGTGATTCTGGATCCCAGTTTCATGGCTACTTACCACTTGTCCTGGCTACATTGTGAGACTCATGAAATAGTGTGTGGGATACTTTCATAATGCACAGGTGAGATTTCAGGATATTAATATTAAATATTCCCTGCTCCTGGCCTTTCTCAGCAACAGGAGGATGATTCTGGAGAAGGAGAAGATGATGCAGAGGTGCAGCAGGAATGCCTTCATAAGTTTTCTACCCGAGACTATATCATGGAGCCCTCTATCTTCAACACTCTGAAGAGGTATGCGAGGACAGTGTTTGCGTTAGGGAGGAGGGGCTTGTTCAAAGAATTTTCTAAAAGAACCAGATGATGACAAGTAAAATGAGAAGAATGTGGTCTTGGATTAGAATGCTTCTAGGGTCCCCTTTGTCATTTAAAAAATGTTTAAATGTAATTATCTTCCTCCTTACCTACCTTTTCATCCCCTCTCATCTCCTGCTCTAATGAGGTGGTGGCTCTTTTGCTTTTCTCAGGTATTTTCAGGCAGGAGGCTCTCCAGAGAATGTCATCCAGCTCTTATCTGAGAACTATACTGCTGTGGCCCAGACTGTGAACCTACTGGCCGAGTGGCTCATTCAGACAGGTGCTGTCCTTGCTCTCACCCAACCCCACCTCTCTAATGGGCTTTTGCATCAGTATTATGCTAGTGAATCAGCAGTGCCTTGTTTGAATCCTGATTTTTAATGTTTGTGTAAGTAGGAGTTGAACTTTTTAGCCATTTTCACCTGTTTGATTCTTATGTTTGATCCAGCAGTTGAGGTTTGCAGGAGTTCCCGTTGAGCAGCTTTCTCTGCCCTGCTGTAGAGTTAAGGGATGACATGCTGTACATTTGGTGTATCATTTTCAGGAGGCCTGTTACAGCAAGCAGTGAGTGATAGGTCATTTTGGAGTTGGCTGTGGTTGTGGCTTCTGGCTCATAGGATCACAGTGGAGTCTTACTGTAGATCCACTGGGCTGCGTCTAGATGGTCACTTGAGTAAGCAGTGTCTGGAAAGAAATGGATGCATTACTGTCGTGATTCCTTCAAGTGAGCCTCTTGGCCACATCTGCTCTCCTTCATGGGACAGCATTTTCTGTCACCCTCCCTGTCTGTTTGGACTTTGTGAGGGTTTGAAGGTGCTATTCTCCTTTCCATTAGGCAGGGGTGGACCATGTGGTGCATGCTGCTCTGTTCCTTCTTGGGTCTTACTAGCAAGTAGAATTAATAACTTTTTAATGAGTCCAAAGTCTTGCTTTTAAAAGTGGCACAAGCAATTCTGTGTTGTTTGGTTCAGAGAGATGTGGCTGTTGGCCCTTTCTGCAAGAGTGCAGTGGTTTTAGTGAGTGCTGTTGTCTTATATTTTCTTTCAGGTGTTGAGCCCGTGCAGGTCCAGGAAACTGTGGAAAATCACCTGAAGAGTTTATTGATCAAACATTTTGATCCCCGCAAAGCAGATTCTATTTTTACTGAAGAAGGAGAGGTGAGGAATGTTCTTTTTCTGGTGATGCATCCCAGGGCCTTTTCCTAGCTCTGTGTATGGAGTGGTGTGTGGTGTATCACGTAAGTACACGAGTTGGGTAGTGTGGTCTGAACTACTCTTTCTGCTGTGCTCAGCACATTGAGGTGCTTCATGTGGGAGGTTTTGGTGCCAAGGCCAAGAGGAGGTGCAGCCAGTTCTCGCCTCCCGATCCTTGCTGTCTCCAGGCACAGCTCTGGAAGGGGGTGAATTCCTGTGGGTCCTCCAAGAAGCATGTGCTGAGACTGGGTGAGACATGCAAGGAGATCGTGAAGGAGACACCCCAGGTAGAAAAGTAGATGAATGCTGGAGGAGGCTGGGGGAGCCAGGATGCAGGACTGACCCTGAAGGCAAAAGACATGAAGGAAGTTGGAAGGAAGAATCTCAGGCTGCAATGCAGCTTTTAGGAAGTCCCAGCAGGGCCAGGGAGATGTCTCTAGAGTTTTAGTTGCTGGATACACGAGCCTGTGTCTTTTATGACAGACCTGCCTGCGGAGCCCTCTGTGCTCAAGTTGTGGCTGGAAACAGTCATGGAGAGCCTGGCCTTGGCACAGACAGGATGGTGGGTTCAGAGAACAGTGCCCCCATCCGTCACACAGTAGGAGCCAAGAGACATTTTCGTGGCCACTACTTTGGTGTTGGACAGAACCTCCTGTGCTATTTAAATTGTGTCTTCTGTCCTGCCATGGGCATGTAGCTGGTTGAGCGTGAGTCAGTCATGCATGCGATGCAGCTCCTCTGTGCACTTGCTGCCACAGGACTCTCGGATGTCTCCCAGGAAGCTCTCTTCCACTTGTGCCCATGTTGAGTGGGAACTTGTGAAACAGAGTGGGCGTGCAGGGGCTGTCCTGCCTCACAGCTCTGTGGCCACAACCAGCCCTGAGTCTGCTTCCTCTAGAGCTGGACGCTGATGGCAGCTCTTCCAGCTAGAATGTCCTGGGGTTGTTTATGCAACAGACTTCTCTTGGGCTAATGCCACACGTCTTACCTTGCTGTCTGTTTGTCGGCAGACCCCAGCTTGGCTTGAACAAATGATTGCACATACCACATGGAGAGATCTTTTCTACAAACTGGCTGAAGCCCATCCAGACTGTTTGATGCTTAACTTTACTGTTAAGGTAGGAAGAGTCTTAGAAGCAGGGGAAAGTATGCAGGATTGAGGGTGGGTTTTGATGTCTATTTGGTCGGTTGTCTGTGAAGACCGTTTTTGACAAAGGTCTCCATCGTTGCACTTCAGCATGCCTTACCCTGAAGAAGGGAGCATAAAATTTCTGCCTGTGGTTTTAGATCAACATTGACTGTGTTTTAGGATTCAGCAGGGACATTTTATAGTGTGTGTGTTCTGAGGAGCCTTTAAGCACACCTGGCCAATCACTCCTTTTTATGCATCAAGACCTGGGAGGGCTGGGAAGTCCAGGTCACAGCCCAGATTGTGGCAAAGCAGAGACCAGAGTTAAGGTTGGGACCTGAGACCAGTGCCTGCTTGTTCTACCTGCCGCACATGCTGCCCAGCAGCCCAGTGCTGAAAGGTGGGTCACCAGGTGCTGACACTCTACTTTTGTTTTTGTGTGGCAGCTGATTTCTGATGCGGGGTACCAAGGGGAGATCACCAGTGTGTCCACTGCCTGCCAGCAGTTGGAAGTATTCTCCAGAGTGCTCCGAACCTCTCTAGCCACCATCTTGGATGGAGGGGAAGAAAACCTTGAAAAAAATCTCCCTGAGTTTGCTGTAAGTTCTCTACATTGTGAATCTTGGATTTGAAGCAGCTGGTTGGGGGATTTGGGTTCCCAAACATGAAAATCCCCTTCCCTGTGGAGAATCTCTAGGTCCAAAAATTACCTGCCAGAGAGTAGGTTCCCTGCCCGAGAACTTTGATCTGCACTTGCCAGTGCTATGGTCTTGAGACCCCCATCCTGCCTCCTGTATTCTAGAAGATGGTGTGTCACGGGGAGCACACGTACCTGTTTGCCCAGGCCATGATGTCCGTGCTGGCCCAAGAGGAGCAGGGCGGCTCTGCAGTGCGCAGGGTGGCACAGGAGGTGCAGCGCTTCGCTCAGGAGAAGTGAGGCTTCTGCTTTCCCCACCCCTCTCTGTTGTTTCCATAGAGCCCTGCGGCCCTTGTCCACAGCCATGCTTCCTGCCCCTTCTGTCCTGCTGTCTAGAGCTGGTGGTCAGGGTAGTTTTAACCTACGTGGGGAGCTTGCCTTCCAGAGTGTTGTTTTGAAGACTGTTTTGTGAGGTACTTGAGTGTACTTCTAGTTGACTCTGCTTTTATATGCTGGAATTCACAGATGGCAAATAACAGTAGTCCTAAAATAGTCATTCAGTGATTATTATATTGTGGTCTGTATCTTACAGACCAAAGTTATATCTTCCTAGCTTTATTTTTAGAGTCTTAGCAAGGTGTTTAAAAAGTATGAATCTCTTTATCAAGTCTGTAAGGTGCATTAGAATCATTCTTTTCCAGTTTGCTTTAAACATTGTTTCCATGGGTGGGTCAGTTAATAAACAAGTGAATAACAAAAAACCCAAAATGGATCCTAATGGTTTAGAACATTAAATGTAAGAAAAGAACGAGAAAGAAAAATCTGCCCAACATTGTTAGTGACAGGCTATGTGGTTTTTCTGTCAAGAGGCCATGATGCCAGTCAGATCACACTGGCTTTGGGCACAGCTGCTTCCTACCCCCGGGCCTGCCAGGCCCTTGGGGCCATGCTATCTAAAGGAGCCCTGAACCCTGCAGACATCACTGTTCTGTTCAAGATGTTCACAAGCATGGACCCACCTCCTGTTGAACTGGTAAGTTACCTCTCATTATAGCAAGGTGGGGTCCCCTCTGTGCCAGGGCAGGGTTGTTTTGGAAAGTCTCTTAAGTTTCCCTGATTCTCTTAAGGCAGTGAGTGCAAATGCCTTTTGAAACATTGCTGTCATTTCTGTCCTTCCCCGTCCCACTCCCAGCCTTCATGCCCAATAGACGTGCTGCCTGGAACCCTGCAGGTGGCTGCAAGTGCGCATGCCCTCTCCTGCCAGACTGTGCTTGGTGTGTGCTTCTCCCCAGATCCGGGTGCCAGCCTTCCTGGACCTGTTCATGCAGTCACTCTTTAAACCGGGGGCCAGAATCAACCAGGATCACAAACACAAGTACATCCACATCTTGGCCTATGCAGCAAGTGTGGTTGAGACCTGGAAGAAGGTACTGTCAGCCTTTCAGAAGACAAGGGTCCTCCTTTGCTTGGGTATTATTGGGTAATTTGGGCTGCAAGAAATATTGAACCTGCCTAACAGAGAACATGTCTTTTCTTGTGTTTTACTGATGGTGAAAGTGCTAAACATCTCAAGAAAATGCTCCTCTTAATACTTCTTTAGACTGTAATGTGAAGTATGACTAAAAAATAGTGAAACAGGTCCCTAAGCTAGAGACAAACACGACTCTCACTGGTTTACAGTTTCTGTACTCTGCACAACCATGCAGTTTGACAATTAAATTGACTTATGACTTCATAGACAGGGCAGGGGATGTGGAGAGAGAAGTGGCCAGTGACAGGATTCTCCACCGCAAGGCTGTGGTGCTGTCAGAATCCACCAACCTGTGTGTGTTTTCAGAATAAGCGAGTGAGCATCAACAAAGATGAGCTGAAGTCAACATCGAAGGCTGTGGAAACTGTTCACAATTTGTGTTGCAATGAGAACAAAGGGGCCTCTGAACTCGTGGCAGAACTGAGTACACTTTATCAGTGTATTAGGTGAGCAGTGAAACTGATTGCCAAACTAAATCACTGGGGGAGGTGGCTTTTGTTGTCATATTGAAAGCTCACATAACAAAAGCTGCAGAGATACTTGTGCCTTTTATTTTATTTTGTAAACATACAGAGAGCATGAATAACGTGTATAGACAGTATGAGTCATTTTCAGTTGTTTAATAGAAGTAATTTCACAAATTAAACTAAGTGAAAGGAAGACCACCTGGAAATACAAGAATGGAATTGAAAAAGTTCATTTTTTCCAGGTGCAGTGGTGCACACTTGTAATCCCAGCTACTTGGGAGACTGAGGCAGGAGAATCACAAGTTTAAGCCTAGCCTGGGCAACTTAGATCCTGGCTCCAAAAAATGGTTGGGGATGTAACTCAATAGAGCCCTTGCCTAACATTCATGAGACTCTGGATTCAATCCCCAGGACCACAAAAAAAAAAAGAAAAAGAAGGGCTCATCTATAGCAGAAGTCTAAGACTAATGTAGTATTGCTCAGATAAACGAATGACCTGTGACTCTGCACTTATGTAAATATATTTGCCCTGGAAATCATGCGTCTTCTTAGGCATTTGAATCTTTCTGTTTATCTGTGTGGGAACCAAGAAAGTGGTTTGCTAACTAAGGTAAACTTGAGCACATGTACCAGACACAGCAGTTTCTGCATCACCCACCATCTCTTCTCCATTAGCAAAGGGGTTGATTCTGCATCACCCACCATCTCTTCTCCATTAGCAAAGGGGTTGAATGGGCTGAGGATAGAGACTGCTTCTCACCTTGCACCTTGGAGAGGCCACCCCTTTAATAAGCAGCTCTTGGCAGCACAGATGAAGGGGCGGTCTGAGTTTGTTCTCAGGCTTCCTCCCCTTTAATGCTCTTGTTGCATATTGGTATTTTTCCCACCTTTGGTTTAAAGGAGGCATTCTGCTATGTTTACCTGTAGGTTTCCAGTGGTAGCAATGGGTGTGCTGAAATGGGTGGATTGGACTGTGTCAGAACCAAGGTACTTCCAACTGCAGACTGACCATACTCCCGTGCACCTGGCATTGCTAGATGAGGTGAGAGGCAGAGGGCTGCCTGGGTGTGCAATGTCTCTGTCTTGCATGTGTGTTGTCATATGCATCTTTTTGATGTGTTTAGTACATACTCTTCAAAATTAGCTATTTCTATCCTAAACAAGGATTTTCCTTTTAAGGACCTAGTTTCATTGACTGCATAGATGTCTCAGTTTTGTCAAGTGTCATGGGAAGGATGAGGCAGGGCTGAGGAGTTTGCTGGCCCTGGGTCCAGCACAGGACTAGCAGCAGCAGCCATGAGCTATCTGTGCTGGCAGTGACAGTGAGTGGTTCTCTGCATGGTGAGTGAGCCCTGCGACCTGACCACACTGCTCAGCAAGGCTCCCCATGACCTGTTTGTAGATCAGCACCTGCCACCAGCTCCTGCACCCCCAGGTCCTGCAATTGCTTGTTAAGCTCTTCGAGACTGAGCACTCCCAACTGGATGTGATGGAGCAGGTGAGTGGCACCGGGGCACGTGGGGACTGGGGGTGCACCCCATGCTGACCTACTCTTTTGGCCTGCTTCTCTGCAGCTTGAGCTGAAGAAGACACTGCTGGACAGGATGGTTCACCTGCTGAGTCGAGGTTATGTACTTCCTGTTGTCAGTTACATCCGAAAGTGTCTGGAGAAGCTGGACACTGACATTTCACTCATTCGCTATTTTGTCACTGAGGTCAGCAGTGCACCGTTGGTTTCGTGTTTCATGTTCTTTACACTAGCAGTGTCCTTTATGGCTTAATTTAGTTCATTTTGTACCTATCTCTGAGAAGTGTACTTTCTGATAATCATGGTGATGACAATGACAGATAGCAATTTTGTGAGCCCTCCTACCTGCAGGAACTGTGTTACATGTTTCCCCTATGTTACCACCCTGCTGCCTTAGTGTTGGAGAATGGTGTCACCAGGGAAGCCAAAGGGGGAGGCGGGGGTAGTTTCAAGAGTGCCATTTCACCTGTGTTGGTGCGGTGCCCGAGTTGGCCAGGCAGGCAGAGTAGCCCTGTTTTCCCTCGTAGGTACTGGATGTTATCGCTCCTCCATACACCTCTGACTTTGTGCAGCTCTTCCTCCCCATCTTGGAAAATGGCAGCATTGCGGGCACCATCAAAACAGAAGGCGAACATGACCCCGTGACGGAATTTATCGGTAAAATCTCAGTAGATCTGCTCTGGCTACATCGGTATGTGTCAGTTTGCACCTTCTGTTTCTAACCCAGTGACTATATGTCTGGTTTCAGCTCACTGCAAGTCTAACTTCATCATGGTGAACTAAGTCAAGCATCTGCAGAGCTGAAGCAGGTTTTCCAGGCTCCACTGAGGAGAGCCCTCTCAAGAAGCTGCCATAGTCAGCACCTTGGATGTGGAATCTGCTTAGAGGGGTGGATGACTTCCTTAGAAGGAAAGTGTTAGCAGTGTGAGAGCCTGCTAGGGACATCTCCTCCCTGTGTGGTCAGTCCAGAGCTCATTTCCCTCCACATTGCCTCCGCATGAACCTGCTGCTGGCCCTGGGGGTGGTGGGAGTTGTGAAGTTGAGACTCTGGTGAACAACTTTTCAAGGCTAAGTTTTCTCACAAGAACCCAATTGGTTAGTTGATGTTTTATTGTAATTGTTTAAATTTGCTAAGAATAATAAATTTTTTAAAAGCTTTTGTGCTGAATTGTAAGGTGCAGGTCCCGTGTTGGGTTCTTGTATAAATAAGGCATGCTGGGCCTTGGGTGGAACCAGATGGTTTATTCATCACTTGGACAATTTGAAATTACCACCTCCCTCCCTACACTGAATCCAAGATGATTTAAGAACTGGTGATAAGTCTGAACCATTTTACCTCTTAAATGTGATATTAGCAACCACACTTGCTAAACACAAAATACCAAGCCCCCTGCTGAAGAAAACAGGCCCTGTGCCTTGGCAGATGGAGCCTGGAGCCACCTTGTGCAGGTACTTAAGTCATCAGCGGTCAGCCCTCCTCAAGGTGCACTTAGCCGGTATCACATGGTTCTCAGGTCGACAGGCACCCTTCTAGATGTTCAGTTTGGTGACCAGTGTCCAAGATTGACAATCACCCAGTCCTACTAACGGATCTTGCACACAGGATCCCAACTCCTGTGAACTGCTCTTCCAGAGGCATCCTCCCTAGACGATGGGGTCCCCGAATGTGCAGTACTCCTCGATGGCCAGGTTGTAGCTGGCGCCTCTCCCATCCTTGTAGGTGCTGGTCACTATCTTCATCCAGCCTCTCTCGCCCTGCAAGATGCCAAGGCCCCCACGTCAGCCCTTCAGCACATGGTCTCCTGCTCCACCCTTCTGCTTCAGACTCAGACCAGGCCCTTGGCCTCCACCCTGCAGCCCAGCCCCACAGAACAAAATACCCAAACAGCCTGCCTGGCTACCCAGCACCCTTTCCCATGACCCTTGTCAAAAATGCCTTGTATGAGATATTCGCTTGGTTAATACTTAACACAAGGGCCCCCTGCCAGTAGCTAATTAATGTAACAAAACATATTGACTGTTTAGACCAGATGACTTATCCACCTACTAATATCCCCACTTGTAGTTATTTAATAAAAAAGAACACTGATTTCATCTCTTCTGTATTTACCATTTTCCTCCATTTCATAATAATGAATTTCTGTATCAAGCTATTAATGGCTAATATTAGTTTTAAAAATAAAAACTCTGGCAGTTATCACCCCTGGATCTTTGACCCAATCTTAAAGTATTTATGAAAAACCTAGAGTACTCCTAATGGGAGTCTGAAACTGGCAGGAGAAAGAATGACCTGGTTGTGAAGGAGGAAGGTGGCCAACTGCATCCTTGGTAGGGGTGTCCCAGCCAGGACACTTCACTTTGGTGCCAGTTCTGGTGTCTCATACTGCGGTGCAGAGGAGGAACTGGCATCTAGTGGGTAGGGGCCCCAGGGTGCTGCTAAACATCGGACAATGCATAGAACAGGAATGGCCCTACACAAGCAAGAAGCATCTGCCCAGAGCTGTGGCTGACAGATGGCTGGAGCAAAAGGTCTAGCTGGCTGCAGGCTACAGTGCTCAGTCAGAGGTCAACAGCCACGGGTGAGAAGTATGGCCTCATTTTCTAGGTACAACCATAAAGTGAAAACATCTCACCCAAGGTTCGCCCCAGGAATTCCGGACAATCCAGTACTCGGTCCCGTCACTGCTGACACCCCATCCAGCCACTGAGATAATGTGGTTCACATAGGCCTTGTCATGGTACTCGGCATAGATACCGCCAGTGTAGTTGGCCATCCCTTCTGTTGCCATTATGCCACAGCTGAGAGCAAGCAGTGAGTTACCACCTCACCCAGAAAGAGGCTGCAGGTAGCCTGCTGTCCCAGGGGTGAATCCAGCCCGCCCCACACGGTGGTTCTGGACAGACTTGAGTTGCTGTTGCTGTGTCTTCCAGCCCCAGGACACCACAGCTGTCACCACAGCTGGGCCTCTCACCCCCACGTGTCCCACAATAATCCCATGAAGGGCAGATCAGTCCCTGGTTGGGGTTTACTTCTGAGAAAACAGAAGTTCTCAAAGGTGAAAGTGGTGGCTGTAGCTCATACTAGGGAGTAAAACTGGTGGTGGGGCGGGAAGTGTGATCGACACACAGGTACACAATCCTGCTGGTACACCTGGCGCAGCCTCACCTGGCGGCCTGTACTCACCTGATGGGACCATTCGTGTAGATCTCTGCCATCATCTTCTCCCTCCCTGAGAGGGAGCCATAGTCGCCCACTCTCCAGAGGGTATAGTTCTGGATGGTGTGGCACTCTTTGAACTCCGTGCAGGTCCCACACTGGTTGAACTTGTCACACTCTGGGTGAGAGCAAGCAGTCAACCTGGGGCTCTCCTCACTGCCCAGCTAACCAGGAGGCCCAGTGCCCTGCTCATTACTAGGAACCAATCATCTCCTCTTTCTGCTATGGAAGAGCTTCAAGGAGGGCTCCACCCTCCTCGAAGGGTGGAAGGAGGGAAGAGAAGAAAGGTCAACTTTTGAGTACAGAGCAGGAACTCTGGGTGGGTTTTTTCTTCTCTGTAAAGGCCAGGAGAGGACCTTTCCACAATACTTCAGAGCTGAAATCGAGTGCAATCAAAATACTAAAACTCAACAAGATGATTCTATTGCTGGCTAGTGAATAAATATGCCATTACATATGGTTTAAAAAAAAACAAAACAAAACCCCTTTCTTGTTATTTTGGTTTGAGAGATATCCACAATTAGGTTAGAAAAGAAGAATAAGAAGGTGTGCCCATGTTCCACCTCACAGGCATGATGGCCGTGTTCCCTAACTCTGGGCATTTGTACTTTCACCCTTCCACCCTGCTCGATCTTCAGCCTGCCTGGCTACCACTTTTTTGTTGCCTATTTCTGTTGTGGTTACACATCTGTCCAGATCGTCCCCGGGGACAGTAAACTCTTTGAGGATTAAATTGTTGGTTTAATTTATCCAACACCAAATGCCTAGGGCCTGGCACAACCGGAAAATGGTGGATCTGCAGCCACATTTACCAATACAAAGACAAGACTGTTTATGGCAAACACTCAGGTCTCTGATGTGCTCCAGCCACCTGTCAGGAGAGGTGGAATCAGAGCGACTTGGCTTCGGCTGGACAACACCGGCTTGGGGATGTCGGTAGGGTGGGAAGGGCCCCAGGACTATCTGATTCCACAGGGAAGTCCCCCCTGGGGTCTTTGACCCTGCTGGGTTTACTAAACCAGGACAGAAAATTCTTTGAGCAGTTTGGCCCAGGAAGCAAGGAGACAGAATCCTGCTGGCCTGGGTGGGGCTGAGTATTCCTGCCACTTCAGTGGGTACAGGACACTAGAGCCAGCATTCACAGGGTTGGGGGACAGCATTGGGCTCCTTCCCCTTCCTTCCTCCTGCACCTATCTCAAATGTCTTCTGAGTTTTCCAGAGCTTTCTGCTCTGGCTGTGAGGGAGATCTGGGGTCAGGTGGCTTAAACCTGCCAATAATGGATTTGGGTCCTTTGGTTTCCAAAAGGAGCAGCCTAAAAGGAATGTGTCGACTCGGGATTCTGGGCCAGCCTGCTCTGCTCACCCACAAAGTGCTCATTGGCTACAGGCACATCTGGGTACACATGGCCCAGAGTACTAGGCAGGGACCAGGTTGACAGACCCACTGCTAGATCTCCTGCCTCCAGCTCTGGGTGCCAGCTTCCCCACCAGCTCTCTGTGCCCAGCTCCTAGAGAGTAGGCTCCACCCCATACAGGGTGGAGCAGGAGCACTTGCCCTGCTCCTTGCAAGGCCTATTATAAACTACCCAAATGTCACAGGTCAGAACCCATATATCACATCAGGGCCTCACCGAAGCAGAAACATGGTCTAAGGCTGGAGGCCTGGGAATTGGAAGGGTGTCCTTTGACCTCTCCCCATGCCAAGGGAGAGTCTCCACAAAAATGATGAGTTCCATAGCTCTACTAGGTTCAAGGCAGCACTGGATGAGGTTGGCACAGGTTCTGGGAACAAGTCCTCCCCAAAGACCGGGGGTGCTGACCCTCCCCTCCCCACCACTCCAGCCACAGCATCACAAGGGTGGGATTGGCCTGGGCTTACAGTACATTCTCCCAGGGAAGAGGGACAGGGCAGCGGGGGAGTGGGCAGGGCCTACCCTGGTCCTTGGCCTGGTAGTTGTTGCAGGTTTCATCAGGGATGCCGTGCAGGTGGGCATACTCCCACACTGGCAGGTCGTTGCCCCCTTCGCAGGAGCCAGCATTGCCGCAGTCAATGACGTTCTGCACAGATAGCAGGGTGGAAGGCCACGCCCCCTTCCTCTTGATGTTGATGCGATCTGGAAGGTCAGGGTCTGCTCAGCACCTGCTCTCAGCTGCACCCTCCTCACTTCCCCAGTTGGCACTGGAGGCCTAGGTCAGGCCACAGAGTGCTGCCCACCATCCTGCCTCCAAGCCCATGCTCAGGGCTCAGGCTGCATGTCTCTGGAGGGCGCGCTCCCATGCCCACCTCCTTGTGGAGGCCACAGCTCAGCTGCGGCTCTCCAGAGGTCTGCCCTGGCCTTCTGGAGCACTGTGGTATCTGTGTGCACCGCCTGGCTGCAAGTGCCACCAGGTAAGGCCAGATATGTCCTGTCCACACAGGTCAGCCCAGTAAGTCCTCAAGAAACACCTGCTGAAGGACTGAAGGGATGCCTCAGCTGCTACATTAGGCGGCTGAGAGTAAGAGAGCCCTGTGGAGAGGGGCCAAGGTGGGCACCTCCATGAGCAGGTGCAGCCCAGGGGGCTGGGGAAGGCCAGGGGGGATCCAGACCCAAGCACATGGTGAGTCAGGGGGCCTGAGCAGCCCTGGCTGCCACAAGCCTGGGCTCACACACTGAGGGCACCACTGGGGCTGAACAACTTGCTTCCCTTCCCAGAAGAGGACTCAGGCTACCTAATCAGGATCATCTTGCCCTCCATTCTGCAGGACTAGGTTACCACAATACTCCTTACGGCCCACCTCCTCTCCTGCAGCCTCACCTGCCCTTCTCCTAGCGACCACGGGCTCAACAGCAGCCTCCGCCTAGCCCAAATCCCTCTTTCTTCCTCGTGCAGCTCCCCTGGGGTGCCACCTCCTCATGTCACCTTCTAGACTCCTGCTCACACTGGTCCTGGCTCCATAGGTC